TGCCTGCTGATCCCAAGGCAGCCTCAGTGTCAAAAGCCTGCTCTGTCCTGCCCACACCCTTCTTCTGTGTGCAGGCAAACAGTGAAGTTGACTTAGTTGTTGAAATAAAGTTACCTGTGTTCACGGTTAACCATGGGTTTGCTCCAATTCCACCTCCTGGGCAAGGGATAGACTTCCATGCTCGGCACCTGCAAAATGAACCATTGGGGCACAAAGGGACCAAGTGTCTCCCAAGGGCTGCAACTGGGTGTGGCCAGAGAGGAGAGTGCTCTGAGCCACAATGGGATGGAGGAAAGTGGCACATCAAGCAAGGCTGGCAAGAGGATAGAAAAAAACAAGGCCACTCGCAGACACCTCTGGGGGGTGATGCAGCATTAGGGCACACAAGCTGGGGAGTTGGGTGTGGTGTAAGCCTTGGCTCATGGGATAGACCTGGGAAACTCCTGGGTATGCCAACCAAAATTCCTGACTCCTGACAGGAGTCACAGTGCCCTAAGGAAGAGCCAGATGTCATGTGTAGCTAATGGGGAGTGATGTGCAAGGTGGTCACACTTCACAGATACTCGAAGGAAGAGTTGGGGTCATTCTGGGGAGAGGAACCTGGCAGGAAGAGCAGGAGCCAGGAAACCACATCAGTAATGCCACGGAAGGCCAAGGTGAGCCAGCTATTAGCACCTGCAACACCAAATCTGTTGACAGGCGGGCCAAACCTGGGAGCCAGGGGAAAAAATCACAGGGGTTGGCTCTTTATTTGGGAGGAGACAAGGGCAGGGAAAGGGAGGAGTCAAGGAAGATGAGAGGAGTGTATAAGCATGGGAAATGGAGAGAAGGGGGGATTGAGGAGCCAGTTGCACAGGCACAAACTGCTGGTTGTTGCACAAACTGTGGTTTGACTGAATGCTGCATGTAATCCCCACAGGATGGGAAAGAAACTTCTTATCGCAACCTAATAATTAACAAGTCGTCTATTTACTGCACAAATTTGCCCTGTAATTTTAGACCATTAAAATCAACCCATTGTATTTTATAAACAAAAAAAAAGTGGAATTGGTAGTGGATCCAGTAAAGCCTTGGGGTAGACATGTCCAAGGCAGTTGCTGCCTTTTCCAGGTGAAGGCATGTGAAGGTTGACTTTCTTCACCTAATGGAATGCTTCCAAATCCCTTGGGCCAGGTATTGGTCTCTCTGCTTCTGGATACTTTTCTTGGCTCCCAGGGCAATAGGGTCCTGTCTCGTGGTGGGTGGCACTCTTCCCTTAGTTTTAATAAATATGAGCTGTGCTGAGACCAACCGTCCCACACCTCCACTGGTCCCTACCAGCCTGGCATATGCTTCTTAAAGTATTTCCTGATGTTAGGGGCTGCCTGCTCTACAAAGACACTAACTGCGAGTGTGTTGTGAAAGTTTGGTGTTGGTCATTATCCTGCACAGCTAGCAGACCAGATTCTAGCTGGCCAATCCTCCTGGCACATTGTTATTGCATGGTCTTTCCAAAATTCTGCTCTACATAACAACTTCTCCCAGTTTTGCACAACCTTGGGCAAGGACCGTCCCCTTATCTATGCTGGGGATAATTCCCATCATGTCAACAAGAATGAGGGACTTGAAACCCCTTTTTACATGCTAATAAGGCACTTCAGCTCCCCTTCTGTACGTGCCAAGAGACCCTGCCTCCCCTTGCACTGTATGAGAGACTCCACACGACCTGCTGGGCATGAGGGACACAAGTCTCTCCCCTTGCAGGTCTCCACAACCCTTCTGTGTCATAGGAGAGACTCGAGCCCCATCACCTCGCACCTTACAGGGGCCTACACAGCTCCTCAATGTGTGCCTCACTCTGACCAGGCTGCGCACCCGTTCTTGACCCACTACCAATAATTTCACCAAATCTGCACAAAATGCCACACCAACAGAGAGACTCAAATCCATCCTTATAATGTATACCGAATCTGCTCAGGGAATTTTAACACTCCCCCTTTGGCTCCTCCCTGCTCTAAAGATTCCAGCTGTACTCGCCCACTGCCATCAGCTGCATGTTTGGAGAAGGGAGGCTCCCGAGGTAGTGACCAAGGCTCCCGTCTGGGATGCCAAACTGGTGAGGAATGTTGGACCACTCAGGAGTCATGGGCAGTTCCAGTGAGCCGATGGGTGCCCTATTTGATTCCCTACACACCCCACTCTCACATAGTGAGACCAGGCTTCTGTAGTGATTGGCCCCCAGGTTTTCTTAGCAGAGTAGGAGATGTCCCATTCCATAAAGCCATTTATTCATGATGCAGTAACATAGAAGCAGCTCAAGCTGCAGGTAGAATTCTTACAAGGGCAAGTAGTGATAGGACAAGGGGGAATGGCTTCAAAATGTCAGAGGGTAGGTTTAGATCACGTATTAGGAAGAAATTCTAGACTGTGAGGGTGGTGCAGTAGTGGCACAGGTTGCCCAGAGCAGCTGCAGATGCTCTCTACCTTGAAGGCTTCAAGGACAGGTTTGAAGCCAGGCCTTGAGCAACCTGATCTAGTGCAAGGAATCCCTCCCCACCTGCAGCACGGGGGTCAGAATTACATGATCCCTAAGGTCCCTTCCAACCCAAACCATTCTATGATTCTATGATTCTATGTTTGTCCTGCCCCCATCCCCACACCCGGAACACAGAACCCACCACGCTGTGACATCAGGCCTGGGGACGAGGCCTTCGCGGGCAACGTGGCTGCTGCGGACACTGCGTCTGCGGCTGTGCTGGTGCAAGGAGCCCTCACTTCTTGCAGCTGACACGTGCCTCTGGCAGCCATGAATTGGCTCTGCCTCCTCATCCTGCTGGCCACGTGCGGGCTTGCGCACGGCACGTGGGACAACTGCGGGTAAGTGGCCCCACGCTCTGGGAGGGAGCTTGGGCGATGCTTGGGAGGGGCCATGGGAGTGGGCCCATTGTCCCCTGTGGCTATGCCACAGCTTCCCAAAACCCATGGGGGAGCCTCAGTTCCTTGCCAGAAGCCAGGTGCTGACACGGACAGACACACACCCTGTGGGCTCCGCGGGCCTGCTGTCCTTGCTGGTGGGGAGGGCAGACGGCTGAGCTTCAGCCTGAGCGGCAGCACAGAGCAGGACAGTAATGACTTTCTGCTTACAGATCGGTGTGCGGGTTCCGATCCACGGGTTATGACTATGGTGCCAACGCTTATCAATACAACGACTATGGCATGTCACGTGTCGTGGGCGGCACAGGTGCCCACGAAGCGTCCTGGCCCTGGCTCGTCAGCCTCCAGCATGAGTGGATACCAGACACGGGGCATTTGTGCGGAGGGTCCCTCGTCCACCCGCAATGGGTCCTCACGGCAGCCCACTGCTTTGACGATGTCACGTAAGGAGGAGCAGGGAACGGGGGTATCCTCACAACACCAGCAGGTGCCCTGTCACCAGCACCACGTCTTACTCCCATCCCCTTTGCTTGCAGTGAGCCCAGCTGAGAGACTGGGCTCAGGAGAAGGCTGGTCTCATGCCACTGCTTCCTAGCAGCCCCCAGCTCACCATTCCCACAGCCTGAGGCATACTAGGGCCTCAGTCAGTGCCCCATAGCACTGAAGGCTGGCAAGTGCTGGGCTGCTGCAGTGCACGGCTCTGCTCCCTCTCACCCTTTTCTCTGCATCTGCCTTCCAGCAACATCAGCCTGGTGTACGTGGTGATCGGGGCCACCCAGTTGACTCAACCAGGGCCTGGGGCACAAGTCCGCTACGTTAAGCAGCTGCGCCTTCACCAATACTATAATAAAGTCAACATGAAGAACGACATCGCCATGCTGGAACTGGACCATCCTGTCATGTGCAGCCCCTACATCCAGCTGGCCTGTGTGCCCGATCCAACACTGAGAGTGTCAGACCTGGCATACTGCTTTGTCGCTGGCTGGGGTGCCACCACTGCAAGGGGTGAGTTCCCAGGAAGGACTCGTGATTTGAGGGCAGTCTCAGCACCCTGGGGAGACAGGTTGGGCTTCCTGACAGCAGAGGCCAAAGCCAGAGTCCCGCTGCAGGACGGATGCCTCTGGACAAATGGGCCTGGCTTGCACCCCAAATCACACAGCAGGGTCACAGCACTCCAGTGCCTCTCCAGAGGCCAAGCCAAGGCCTAGTGATGGGAATCAGCCTCAGGCAGGGCAGGAGAAGTGGCAAGGAGCTGCTGAGTGCTCATTCCTTTCTGTGCTTACAGCTGCAAAAACAAGTGATCTCCTGCAGGAGGCCCAGGTCCATCTCATCGATCTCAAGCTCTGCAACAGCAGCCAGTGGTATGCGGGGAAAATCCACATCTCCAACGTGTGTGCTGGTTATCCACAGGGCATCATCGACACCTGCCAGGTAGGAAGGAGTGTGTGATGAGCCACTCGGCCCCCAGCAGCACAGGCAGCCTGGTCAGCACTGCCCAAACACAGCCCCAGGCAGGCCTTGATCGGCCAGTCAGTCACCTTCCCAACCCCGCATCCATACTGCTGTTGTGGCTGCCCTCCCAATCTCCATCCATGTGTCCTTGCTCAGTGCCCCCATTGTCCCAGAGGTCAGTCACTCTGCCCAGAAGGTCCATCCAGTCCTCTTGGCAGGCCTGGGGTCCAGATGCCAACCCTCGAACATCCATCCTTTGCACATCCAGAATCACTGTGCAGTCATGAGAAAGAGCCCTACCTTGCAGGACCCCAACCCACTCACAGTCAAGGTTCTGGATGCTCCAGCACCTTGGTGTGCTGTGAATAAATCCCTGGCACCTTGCTCTGCTGGGAATACAGCTCTGCTGTGAGAGAGAAGGAGACAGCCCCAGTGCTGACCGGGGCCACCCAACATGACCCTAATCCTCTCTGCTCCATTGCAGGGGGACAGCGGTGGTCCTCTCATGTGCAAAGACAACGTGGCTGACTACTACTGGGTTGTTGGAGTGACCAGCTGGGGAAGAGGCTGTGCAAGACCAAAGCAGCCTGGAATCTACACCTCCACTCAGTACTTCTACAATTGGATGCTGGCTGAGATGGCTGCAAGCCCATATGGAAGTGCTTCTTGAGCAGCAGGACAGACAGGATCTAGTGCAGGCTGCAACCGTTTCCTGCTGGGACAATGCCTGCTGATCCCAAGGCAGCCTCAGTGTCAAAAGCCT